GAGAATGAGAGGCTGACGGCTAGCTCACAATAGGCTCACCACTGACAGCCCATAACAATCAATAAATCTCAGGAAGATGAAAGTCATTTAATGAGGGTTCTCCATAAACAAAAAAAATGTAAGTAGAGATTTCCATTGTTCTAGTGTCATTCTTGAAATTTAAATTTTAGACGGTAATATAATTTTTCATTTATTTGTAAATTAAAGGCATGCAGGCATGTCACAGAAATTAAAGTAAAAACAACCAAACCTTAAATTATCGATCTGCCTTCCGCAGCTGAATCTCTAACTGAATATCACCATGGAACAATGCTCAAATTAAATTGGTAAATACATTTTAAACGCACGGCAGACGGCAGGCCATGAGACTACCAATGACAAAGTTCCGGATTGGTTCCAATTTTCCACCACGTATCAGCAATTGTTGTGGTCTGATTCGATGTAACACAATCTGTATGAATGTCTCTTTCGCGTGGTTGTGCGTTCATCGCGAATCCGGAAGTTGTTTAAAATGTCCAGGCTCTTGCTTTTGGTCTTCCCTAAAGCCGCCCATAACGGCCCCTCACAGGGCTCTCCAGACCCCAGCCTCTCAGCGCGAAAACATCCACAATCCATGTGCCAACAATTGACAATGACATAGAATTTTAGTGCTCCCTAATATATACTATAATATACCTAAATATATACATACTTAAGGGTTTGGAGGAAGAATTTAAAAAATGCTCATCTCTTCGTTAAATCTTCTTTAAAATTTTAGATGTATATGAAGTGTGCTTTCTTCGTTTGTGTGTGGAAGATTGCGCGTCCATCGATTTTGCGCTTCATTATTTCTTTGCTTAAAATGTAATAAAAATTCTTAATAAAAATATCCCCTTAACTTAAAGGAAATTATATCTCAAAGAGAATCACCCCAAACAAAATCAATGAAATATTTGAAGGAATCATGTAGACAGCATGGAGAGAATGTTGAACAGGGTGTGACCGAGAACGATTGTGTGCGAAGCCTTGTGAAAATTTTGCCAGAAAAGGGGAGGCATCATGTTGAAATTAACACGTTTTCGCATGTGCGTTGTTTTGTCTCGTTAAAAGTACGATCCGGGTATGTAAATAAAATTTGAACTTATCCGAAATTTGTCTCTCCTATTTCGAAATTTTCACAAAGCCAAGTCTAAGAAATTGGCAGTGTGACGCATTTTCTAGCAGCGATAAGGATGGCAAACTGCCCCGGAAAACGCCTTTATTATATTTACTCACGTCATGCACTGCCATTCACATGGGGATCCGTAAGATACGATGGTTGGAAACAAGGAATGCTTAAGAGGGATGCATCATGGGTGTTTTGTGTTTGAGAGTTGTCAATTTTGGAACGAATTCTCTTCATCATGTCAGTAAGTCTCATTTCACCCATCACAATGTATTGTAGCTCATAAATATGTTAGTATTGGACGACTGATATAATAAAATGTGAAAAGAGCCTATCTGAATATCAATTAGTTGTTGAAATATTGTTGAGATGATCAAATCTGAAACATTCCCAATGCGGTACAAAGGGCTAAAACATGTGTCCATTAAGTAGTGATATTATTATTGGAATTGCATTTTTATCAAGATGTACATTACAATGTATTTATAAATTGTCTTGCCCAGTGATCCTGAGACACTGGTAAGGGTTTCATTATGGTGCTGTAATTATATAGATGTCATACATATAGTGATGAATTTGTTTAAAATGAGCTTGACATGCTATTCATTAATTACGTCAATATTACCTCGAGTAATTTCTTACAGCTCTCCAACATAACACTTAACGTTGAGGGTTTCCTATTCACGTCCCAGTCCTATTACGGACATTTTCCTCATCTGACATTCAGCTCACTGTTGATATTTCAGCATCCAATTTTTCATTTATTTTAAAAGCTCACTCATTGCCTTAACGTTCTGTGTACCGTACCAAGAGGCACAAAAGGCACTGAAAGCCTCCCCAACATTTTCTGAACATTGTGATCCAAAACGGAACTCTCTCCATGTCTGGTCTTGTTAAAACAGTAGCATTTTACTTTATACGGCGCAACCCGCTCACCATCTCATTTGCTTTCATTCCACTTTTATACTTTCAAGGAAAGGAATCTAGCTGCCTTCACTCTGATTAGTGGATGGACCCAGTTAAAACCGGGCCGATACTTGAGGAAAATGCTTATCCGAGTCTCGACAAGAAAACTAAACTAAACCCAATAAAACAAAATCTGTCTAACACATAAATTGGTTGGGGATCTTATAGGTGTTGCTCACTTTATAGTCATCAGATGGTTTCTGAAGAATAGATTTAATAAAATTAGCTTTTACAAAAATCGTCTAGGCTAAAGCAATGAACTGAAGGTGGTGATCCGTCATGTATTGTGAGCGGCAGAGAAGCATACTTGGATTGTTAGAATGTATATTGTTCTGGTTACGCTGGTGAGTCATGGCGCCACGTGGTTTCATAGTTGGATGTTCAACTCCGTGTTTTCGCTAAATCTCATATTTCGAATTCTTGTTGCGATTTCTTCTCTCTCGTTGTACAATGTGTTTCCGGAGCACGCTTTGAACTGTCTGAGTACGAACTCATGTGGTAGCTGATTACTTGCTCGATACGCCATGTTCTGTAGAGAATTCCTTTTCTGTTTCGTCGAAATTTTAATGTGGCGTTTCGTTGGACGCTTGCTCAAATTTTAAAATAAAAATAACAAAGTGCTTCCAAATTCTTCCAATCTGATGACACATTCCGCTGTATGTATCAAGGAATAGGTTGAGGATTGGATTTTTGACTATGCGCGACCCTTCGGAAACACCGACGATATATCGTACTGTTTAATAAAATGTCGTCGGTTCGACCGAATTCCGACAATCAACATTGGTAAACGAAACGACATAGTTTTGTTTTGTTTTTTCAAGCTTTCTCCAAACATGTGACATGTAACTTACTCCTTTGCTTTTATTTTTCAAACGGCTGCAGATTTATTTTTCGATTACCTCAGCGTGTTCTGTATTGGCTTTGCTGTTACATTCCCGTCAGTGTTCGATACGCAAGTCACGCTTGTCTGCGTCTTTGCCGCTCTGGTTGTGTGGAAACAAAATTCTCCATGCTGTTTTTGTTCTCGAGACCCCTTTTCACAGTTATTACGATAGTCTGAATTTTTACTTTGTCATAGGGATTCGTGTTGCCCCCGTCTTGCTTCGATCATGGCATCTTAATGTTCGCCACTCCAAAGAGAGAAATCCCTTTCAAAACCATCAAATTGTATTTTGTTTAGATAGGACGTACATATTTCATTCGTTTTTCACTTAACGTTTATCCTTGAGGGACTAGTCCTCCAAGTATCGTTGTATACCGTGTATACACCTAATATTTTTTACCAGTCCTGTAATAATAGGCCTGGTGTACTGCCAAAACATTAGATACTTTAGTTCTATTAAATATGTCGTCCAATGCGTTGCAAGAGATAGCCTGCTGGATCGGCATCAGGGATGGTTGATTGCCGTTCTAGTCTCTTGTTTTATTAAGGCTCAGTTAGAGCTAGAAGGTCTGACGGCGTATAATATTGAATTGTGATTTCTAATGCCGAACAAGCTGTTTACAGATTGACCATTACGAAGCCGTTCGAAGCAGTACGGGGGACCTATGTTTAAAATGATAATGCAAATAAATTTGATCGTGTTTTTGTTGGAGTATGCGTAAATTGCCTAAGTATCTCCGTGTTTCGAGACCGTGGACACTATACTGGTTTACAGAAGCAATACAAGTTGTCGCATTCTTTGTTAATTGTATGCCTGGAAGCGTGAATGTTCAGTCGGTCGTAAACAAAGTACAAAGACTGTTATTTCAAATTTCAGATATGAAATCCAAAGCCCAATACTATCAGCTCGTGGAAGGAATTTTTCTGTTTAGTAATTAAACTGAATGCAAATTATTCAGAAGAGAGAAAAGACATTTCCACTCTACACCCTAAGGAGAAGGAATTCCTATTCTGTGTTAATGTAACTATGTGTTGTGATTTACAGTATGTTACCTAGATGAGGGATTTATTTTTTATGGATGGAATGAAGTTGGTGTACTCATTAGCACTGCACTCCATCGGAGCAGGCCTCGAAAGCCGAGTAATGTAAATACTTTTTGTCTATTTGTCGCCCACTCGAAGTTAATACACTCTATTTACATCGAATTGACGACATTTCGACACTAATTTTTCCTCGGTCCGAACACCTTCAGTGCTAGAAAGTCGTTGTTTGTGATGTCTTCTTGTGAATGGTTGCTTTCCAGTTCAGCTTCATTTAAGATAATGGAAGTATCATCATTATTATGATTAT